GAGAATAATGAAGATTTGATAGAGAATGATTTTAAGCCGTGTTACTAGCCACTAGTTCTTAGGGTCTCTATGAACCCAGCTGGGCTTTTTGCATTTCCCTAAGTGGTTTGAATCAACAGTTAACAACTTCATGGATTGTTACTACGTTGTGATTTGATCATCCATAACTGCTTTCCAACCTATTTATAACACTGATTGACGATGAAGGGGATGGCTCATCACGTGTAACACGTATCTTAGCCATCTCAGTCTGTGCAGCATCACAATCTTCTCAATAAAATTGCCTTCCTTACCTAACGTTTTACACATAACATCAATTTTACTCGTCACATAGTACCACTTAACATTGGAGATAGAAGGCAAACATCTGCGGTTAAAGACATCTAGCCTCTTCATATCTTCCACTTCCAACGGCTACATTTCACAGCTATGAAGAAGGATGGGGCGAACTACTGCGCAGTTAACATGTACTTTGATTGGTAGACGGATCTCGCGTCTACTCCAGAGATGATATGAACTGGAAATTACCAGACAAGCCTTTTGTATCCGTGCTAATGCGACTTCTCACGTCTAGCTACTTCACTTCTCATCTTTAAACTAGGGATCAGTGCAGATCATTCCTGTAGCATCAAAACTCATTAAGAAGTAAGTAAAATCAGGCATTTATTAATTGATGATGGCTGTACATTTTTTTTCTTCGGTTCATTTTGTTTTATAAGTTCCGAGTATGGGTTCACACTCCGTTTTAGCAACACAATTCTAATAATGAAGGATAAGTAGTCCAAAGAATCTTCAAAGTGAGTAGGTTTAGTGGCGAAGTTAAACTTTCGACACCACTAACTACCAATCAGCGAATTATCCAATGAGATTCACGAACGATGTCGAATTATCCAATGAGGTTCACGAACGCAGTTCAATGTTGTATAGCGCTTGATTCATTTCTAATGCGTGACCTTACAAGGCTACAGTTGCAATTCGAGGAGGTTAGTGTTTTCCAGTATTTCCTGGATTTGAGTTGCTCCGGAAAGAGCGAATTTGTTTGTGTGGTGGTATCATTACTTTAAAAAGCTATACCAAATCAACTGATGGGTTTGTTCATCTGGAGAGGGTAAGCTGATAATTTTAATATTTCGTCGGAACTTACTTTCGCTAGGTCGCATCTCACCCTAACCCAGATTTTGTATATCTGCAACTAATGGGTGTTGAAACAGGCTGTGAGAGCAACAGCTGCCGAGATGGAGAATAGCCATGTTTCAACAGTCCAGTGGTACCAGCATTGCAGAGACATCGCATCATGGAAAATGGGGAAAATCACTTGTTTGCTGGGTGGGGAAGACGTTATCGTGCATGTCGATGAGACAGTGCTCGTAAAAAAGAAATACAACCGTGGTCGCCAGCGAGCGAACAATATTTGGGTAATAGGTTTGTATGACACCTCCCTCCGAAAGGGATTCGTCGAAAGGATAGCAGATAGAAAAGCATTGACAGTCCCATGCTAAACTGGGAGATGTTTTTCTCACATGTTCGAGAAAGATATCCCATGTAACTATTTTATTCTCTATTTTGTGCTTTTTTTCTATAAATATACTTATTTTACTTTACTTCGGCTATCTCCTACGGGAGGATGAGCCGGCTTCATGAACCATGAAGTTTCATGGGAATTGGGTACGAGTGATGTCCCCAGCATCGCTCGGCCTTTTGTTTGAGAGTGCAGCTCTAGCCTTTACACAACCAAGTGTGACCTACAAGGCAGTAGGAGTGGAGTAGGGAGTCCACTATCCATTGGCAGCCGGTGACCGGAGTCCGGTTCATTCGCCTTTTTGAATGGGGCCAGTCATCCAGGGCATCCAATAAGCCCTTTGTCCATACGTCTGCCGGTGAGCTTCATACGCCAGTCGTTGGAGGTTTGGAATCAGGGTTTAGCCATCTCCCCTAGACTATCATCCAATGGACAGTCAACCCGGTGAAGAGCGCCGGGCATCCGCTTTTGCCCTCTCACTTTGGTGAAAAACACCTCCGCCACGTGAAGGCAGTGAGTAGGACTTCCTCAGGAGAGGCTATGTAAGACGCCCGGTCATATGGGAGCATTTCAAGAGGTGTACGGAGGGGTGGCCAACCCGCAGCGCAAGACACCCACCCCCGACCATCCTGAGGCTTTGGATATACATTTCCATTCATCATATATGCCTCTTTAATGTAATTGGTTAGTTCAAGGTCGTTTGCTGATTGGTTGTTAGTGGTGTCTAAAGTTTAACTTTGCCGGTTTAGTTAGTGTAGAAGGGGTTACAGTCATTCCAAGCCTAGTCATAGTGTACCTATATCACTTATAGTGAGGGGATTCTTGTCTTTTGCAAACTGATTGTCTCACTGAATACTTATTTGTTTCAGTGCTTCGAATCAGTTGAAAAGCGGTTATGATATTTCATTTATCACTATTACCTCTATTAGTTGGGTAATTTTGACTCTTTCTATCTTCTGCCCGCTGCAATGTTTAAAAAAAAATTAAACTAGATTTTATCATTTCCGTATTGAATTGTCATTTCTCTTTTATCATTCTACATTCTTTTCTTTGGCATAATCTATTTTTTGAAAGCTTATACATTCATCTGGTCTTTCGCAAGCTTTGATATTTATAATTGTGGACGTACATCTCACTGCTAGGCTTGATGATGAATGTAGTTATTAATGATTATGTAAACAAGTTTGGTGATGACAAAATGTCCGTTGTCAAATATTAAAGTTCAGAGATATGAAGCAATATCCATTTTAACCCTTACCTGTAAATCTTTTCTGCTGCATATACTTTTCTCGGACTCATGCTACCAGTAAAAGTTTTTGAATAAAGCGAGAACAACATTGATTTGTGCAGAATAACATGGTACCATCATTTATTTCGTTGGCTTCTCGTCAGCTGCTTACAGCCTAAATAAATTTTCAGGTTTAATTACAGAAACGTTTTAACGTACTTGCAAATTTTACATGTTGACAGAAAGTTTCACAACTAGTAAACAGTGCTCAGAAAATTGCGCTTATATAGTTTTTACACAGGCAGTTCAAGTTAAAAAATAATAAATAAATGTATGTATATAATGGTAAGGGATGTGCGTTGGATGCATAGTGACTAATAAGTTAGGTAACAATGTACTGAGTTGAACTCAAATCATAGAAACAAGAGACAAGCAAAATTATAAAAGAGGGTGAGGTTAAATAAAGACAAAGATTACGCAATCAGATGGGAGAAAAAAGACATCCAGTTACCAAGGCAAGGAAGGACTAATAACTGATTCTTTCTGAACACATAGATCTGGTTTCAAGCGTTTTATAGAAATTGCTTCGGCAAACTTGAGGAGAATGGAGCTCCTTTGTCTATTGATAATTTTGAAGGATTTCTCGATTTCCACCTCATGACCCGTGTCGAGGAGATGCCTGGTAATAGCGCTGCTCTAAGAATTTGTGAAACTTTCTGTCAACATGTAAAATTTGCAAGTACGTTAAAACGTTTCTGTAATTAAACCTGAAAATTTATTTAGGCTGTAAGCAGCTGACGAGAAGCCAACGAAATAAATGATGGTACCATGTTATTCTGCACAAATCAATGTTGTTCTCGCTTTATTCAAATTTATCAAGGGGAATAAATGCAGTAAAAGTTTTTGTTGTCATCACCATAATTGCCATTATAGATTATGTGTTGTTATTGTTTATTCATTTGAGGTGTTGTAGCTTATTTACAATACTTTCCTGCTTAATTGCCCGAGTCCAAGTAAAATTAGGTTCAGGTTTGAATTCGGTGACAGACTACCGATTTCGTTTTTAGCCAAACGCATCAATGAATTACAACGTTGACATCAAAACAGATTTCAAGACGACATATAATGAAACGTCAAGGACGCAAACTGATAGTCATCTGCAAAACCAAGCGCCCCCTCCCCTATCTATGCTTACAAATGCAGTATATTCTTACCCTCGGCTTACCTTGGTAATCCATATCCGATTATATTACCAAGAGCAGTGTTAATTATTTCTATCTTTCTTATTCTTAAATATCTTCTCAATTTGTATTTGAATTGGACTTTCCTTTTCCACTTAAATTGATTGGACAATTAAATATTCAGATTGTAGGATTAGTGGGAGTTTTGGATTAATTTCAATAGTTGGATTTTCATCAAAAACCAACATCATTTCGAGAGATCATTGCAAACCAGCCAAGAGCACTGGACAGCTGTTTCTTCATATTTCGGAGGACTCTTCAGCACTGCGCACCCACGGTCTCCTGGGACTTTCAGGTTGCGAAATCAAGCTCGTTGACCATACAGCCGATTGGGGAGAAATTCTAACTTTGTCAATTCATGATATGGGGCTGTTCTCACTAATGTCTTCGATGAGCATCCACTTCACTTTGACATTGTGATGAGAATCTAATAATTGAAATTAATCCAAAATTTCAACAAATCCTGTGATCTGGATATCAATCACCAAGTCACTGATGGCTACTGGATTGATTTCTTGAAGCTGTAGTGGGAAGTTGTGACCAGTTGGGTCCAACAAGTGAAGATGAAGTGGTTGTGCTAATCGAATGCATTGGTGAGAACAGCACCATATCATGGGTTGACAAAGTTGGAATTCAGGTGTCGTGGAATTCCATTCTAAGTGGCTGGAAATGACCAACGAGCTTGGTTTCCTAAACTGAATGTTCTCTGTTGGATCGCTGGCTCTTATGGACACGTACTTCCGAAGAGTCCCAAACTAAGACGAAACAGTTGTCGAGTATTCTTAATGCTTCACTAACTGACGTCAGTTCATAATCAATCTTGGAGTATTACAATAGTCGACTTTTCAAGTTTATGATGTGTTTTATTGAGTTTTATTCCTATTTGGTATTATTCATTCTTTCGTACGCACCAGCAATTAATCAAGGGTTTCCTTTTTCGTTCCATTCATCTTATATCCTTTATGTGTGATTGCTGTTAATTATTTCTTCTAATGTGTATTGAATTTTTTAGATCTGGGAGTAGCTCACAACCGAGTATTTTGAATTCAAGTTCACTTAGTCGGGATACTGGAAATAATTTATCTTCAACAAATGTTCCAAGTGCACAAGCTCAATTACAGGCTCAGTATTTAGCTCATCATTATTATGAACAACAACAACAACAACAACAACAACCACAAAATCAACATCATCACAAACAGCACTCCATGAATATCATTTCTAATACAGAAAACCACCAGCCACAACAACAGCAATCGTCACAGTCGTTGTTGCTTAGTAGTGGTAATATTAATAATGATGTTACTAATCAACCATTTCATAGAGGTCAACAACTACAGCAGCAGCAACAACAACAACAACATCAACGTGAAACTGTTCTTACTCTCTATCCATTTGTACGTAATCAAGTAGAGGAATTATCATTTAGTGCAAATGAAATTTTAGAAGTCCTGGATAAACCTCCCGATGATCCAGATTGGTGGCGTTGTCGTAATAATCGTGGTGAAATTGGTCTAGTCCCCCAGAATTATGTACGTGTGCTAACAACGCCATCGTTGGCTATTGCTACTGGTGGATCGAAGAAGCTATTTAGTTCAGATCATAAAGCCTTATCATCATCACCCTGTCAAACTGATGTGAATTTTAATCATTCTTCCTTACGAAATGATCAATTATTGCCAACCGCGAATTCAAATTATCCATATACAAGTAAATTACAGTGCACAGATGGAGAAGCATTGAGATTAAGTTATGCTACACAGTCGAGTACAGGTCGTTTACACGCAGATCGCCCATGGTGTTGGGGTATTATTTCACGTGCTGATTGTGAAGAAATGCTGGGAAAATATTCTCTCCCAGGGGAATTTATCGTTCGAGATAGTGAATCTCATGTAAGTTTTGCTTTTATCACAAGACGTTAGGTTTTATGTAGTTTAATGTTACTGACAGCATCACTGAACGGAATAGAGTGAATTTAGAATATGGAAGTCTACACTAAGCTGTAGCGTTTGATAACAGGATGCCGGATCTCTGAGTGGACATCAGTTCCTTGTAAGTTGCAAGCACACTTTACTGACTGGTGCCACTAAGCGTGATGCCTAGATCCCGAGTTTCTTGCCGGTCGCCTGGGTGAGTTACCTAACGTGATGATCACATGGCGAAATCGACTGATAGGATTGAGTCATGCATTACTGAAACTAATGACTAGACGCATGACATTAGTTTATACCCTAGTGATCAGTCAGTCTATATCTTAATCATCGTCAGTAATACTGTACATAGGTGAATGCTAAGCAAGAAGCCAAGCCTGTTGTTAACTCTGTCCTCCAAATCTCGTTGGTTTTTTTTAACACTTAACCTTACAGCTACATTATAATAATACAATACACAATATATCTCTGCATTGGAATGAGGAATTTCTTTTCGTTAACTGATGTCTTTGTTCAAATAATTTTTACACTGTCTTTGTTTGGTTAGAAATGTCCTTGATAAATTTATTGTATAAGGATGTATGTTTACTTATATGACTGTTGTTGATCTCATTGTAAAATATACCATAGAACTTCTTACCGTTAAAGGTCAAGTGTAGCTGATACTATATGGTGTCTAATAGTCAGTTAGTTTGGCTAATAAATAATACATATGGTCAATTGTTGGGTATTGAACTATAGTTTTATTAACATCGTCAGCATGCACTCAATATGCATTGTTAGTAATTATATATATATATATATACATATATCAGCTAGTGTTGAATATATTTCACATCCTGTAATATTTGGAAAATTCAGTGATAGCGTAGAGAAAGTAGGTTTTAGTGGTAAAAGTGTTGCATGGCAATAATCACAGGAATTTCATTGTTCAGTATTAAAATATGGCATATTTTACAGTATTTGGTTTCAGTCAGTTGACTTGGTGGCAGTTAATCTCTTATCTTACTGATCTCATGTTATTGAGATGCCTGTAACGAAGATATCGTACTAACATGTGGTAAGCATGAGGAATAATCTTCATTGGGTAATGTGAAAAAATTCATGATTTTTTGGAGAAAAAGTACTAAGCAATCCATAATGGGGAAGTTATGCTATATTTTTTTCTCTATTCATAGTCGGCTTAGATTTTGTGCGCATTGTTTGACAATAGATAATGAATCAGCTGACAGTGTTAAATTTTTAGTAGTAAAAGTTAACGAATGATCAAGAAATTCCATCATTAATGGTAAAATCTGATTTGATTTAATCCATACCCTGACGCCAGTGTAACATCCTAGTACTTGCTAAATGCTGACTACACTTTACAGAATTGTTCTTGATATTGCTATGTAGTATTTATTTGTTATTAAATCACAAGCTTAGTACATTATGGGCGCCGAGAGATGCGCCAAACAATATCTCATAGTTTATGCGATGGCTGAGATACTGTTCTCGGACGCCCAAACCGAAGCAGGTGTTTGTCTTAATGGACCACCCTTCAAGCCTTTGACCTGAAGTCTGATCCACCAACTGATCAGGTGGTTTCAGGAGCTATATGCCCATTGTTAACGGTGACCAAAACAGGTTCAAACATCGTCAGTTCGGAATCAGGGCTTTCCAGCTCCTCCAGGTGTAGACCTGCATGTACAGAAGTCCCGTTGCAAGCGCCAAAAGTTTGTATTTACCCTTTCATTTTTTGTGTAGAACATACCTACAGTGTGAAGCCAGTGAATAGGACTTATGTAGCAGAAGCCGTAAAGGGTAGCTATGAAATCTAGCGTTTCACTGTCATCTTTTGAGTTATAGATTTGGATGGAGGATTTCATCATGAGCTGACATCAGTTAGAGTTATAGCTTTCCTGCAACTAAACTACGCAAGAAATTCTGTTGGAAATAAAATTTTTGGTGTTCAAAGAAAGATTTTACTAGTTAGCCAGTATCATATTATGCATTTACATACTGGATTATGAACCATAAACAATGCTTAAGAGTTGTTGGTGGTAATGTGAGCTGATTGATCGTTCTTTTCGAATTATTATTTATTATTTAAACACAGAAAACTTGGTACAATATAGCACCAAGAAGATGTGCCACACAATAATGATAAAACAACATAGGTTAAAAGTAAAAATTTTTGGTGGAGAACGCACAAGGAACTTCATCCGTAAGGAAAACAGTCATAATTAGCAAGTTCTAACAGCATTCGTCAATTATCATCCGGAAGGGAAGAAAAAAGAAAACTGCGACACGTTCGTCACTGAATAACATTCTTGGCCATATCCTATAATGTTTCAAGCCATCGTTTCGAGCTATCTCTCGAACTCCAACCAGGGAGTCGTGACGCACCAACTGATGCTAACCTAGCACAAATATCCTTAATCTCATGACGCCACAAGTCATGGGCTGACCACCTCTCCCTTTTTCCATCCAGTCTCAGGGTTAGTGGACGGAAATCGGTATGGGGGCCTCTGGAGTGATATTAGTAGCACATGTGCAAGTCACCGGAGCTGGTGTCCGCTGATGACCGCACTCAATGGATGGTGATCACCACTGTGTCCAAACACATACTACCAGATCTCAGGATTACTCACACTATGATGCCTTCGAAGGCCAACAATCCTACGGAAACAAAGACGATCGAATATGCAGAGTCGCCCAACACCCTCAGCTCGTAGAGGCCGCTTTTCACAAGCGTACAGAAAGACTGAGTCAACCGAAACGTTATAAACCCGACCTTTGGCAGCCAGCTTAACATCGTGATGGCGCCAGAGGTGGCTCAAGTTGGCGTTTACTACCCTAGCATTCATGATACAGTTGGAAATCTCATCCGTCACACCTCTGCCAGCACTCACACAACTACCTACATACACAAACTTATCAACAAACTCAGGCGGTTCACCTGCAAGAGTGAGTGCAGGTACAGACTCCCAACAACCTTGTAACAGTACTTTGTACTTAGACGGCGCAAGGCACATACTGGACTTATGGACACTGATTTCCAACTGACTAAGTGCAATGTGGGTAGTCTGCATGCAACTGCATAGTAAGACAATATCGTCTGCATATTCGAGGTCAAAAAGTCTTCACGAAACAGATCTACACCACCACCACTATCACACACATCCTTCCTAGTTGACTACAGAATGTCACCGATAGTAAAGTTAGAGAGGAATGGATAGATTGGGTAACCCTGTCTAATCTCACTGTTGGTTGGGAACAATAGTGACAGTTGGTTGTGTGCCCTCACTCTACCTGAAGTGTTTCTCTATAGGGCTTTCAGGATGTTCACAAACTTCTCAAGATCACCTCTAACTAACAGACTTTTCTGGAGAGCAATTCTGTCCAACGAATTGAAGGCAGTCTCAATGTTTATTTTTTTATTTTTGATTACAGCTTGATTCCACACTGTATTTTTGGTACAAGTATGGAATTTTCAGCATGGATATCGGTAGCCCAAGTTTTGCAGGCCGACCGTAAATATCAGGTGTGCGTCGGCGGAGTATCGAACCTCGGACCATACTCATGGTCGGCGAGAGTCCTAACCACTATGCCACTGATGCACAGTGAAACAAAGATTGTTGGCCTGCAGTACGTATGGAGGTGTTCCAACAACTAATGAAGGTTGAACACATCAGTGCATCCACAACTTGGACGAAACCCAGCCTGCTCTTCGCGAATCGATCCCTCACGTGTTTTCCACAGCCTGCGAAGGAAGACAGGAGCCAATATTTTAGACACAACTCTTCGAAGACTGACACTCCCATAATTATCACATGATTCACGTCGAACCTTTTTAAAGATGTGGACGATAATGGCTTTGTTACACATTGATAGTACATTCTCAGTCTGCCATACTTTCCTGAATAATCCAGCTAAAGCCATTGCAAGAGTCTTGTCACCATCTTCAAAAATAGTGGGAAGTAGATTTTCTGGGCCGGGTGCCTTATGGCGTTTCAGTACTTGGAGTTCTTTCCGGACCTCCGCTTCGATTGGTGGACCAAGGGACACTGGATCTAGTGACAGTGGACACTGAAGCTGGTGGCCAGCTTAACTGTTTCTCGAAGTACTGTCCCCAGCGTTCCGGGCATCTTTCCAGGCTGTTAATTGGCATTCCATCTGCCTCAAAGACCGTCTCTCTGACACCTTGTTCCTTGCTACCGGTGGCTCGGATGAGCTGGAACAGTTTCTGACCGTTGCCAGATGCAGCAGCTGACTCCATCTCACACGCACATTCTGACCACCGTGCTTCCCTGTCCTTATATTAACACTGTCTAATCTTGCGCGTAAGCGCCTTTCGCTTATTGCTGTATATGCTGCCAGCCGGAATGAACCGGCACTCATTCAGGAGGTACAAGGAACTCGCAAAACCCAGTGGTTTTTAGCGGAGCATTCTTTTAGTCCTCAAGCTGCTACATTGGCCATTTGCATGACACCTTGCAAATGAAGCCAATGTTCATTTATGCTAATTGGGGTGGGGTTGCTAACAAGCACTGACTGTAACTCATTCTGGTATTACAAAGAGGTAGAAGATGCTACCATTTTGCTGACATCAACATTCAAATGACACCTTTTATAAACTCCACCATATCGCAAGACGAACCTGGCACACATTAGCCTATGATCGGAGTCCAGGTATGTGTTCCAGACGGAGTGGCAGTCTCGTATGCATCCTTGTCACCGGAAACTGGCAGCAATATGACCAATTTTAATTCAAGCTTGATACTCAGAGGGAGGGTGCCAGGTGGCGCTACGGCGATGGCTGTGCAAGAAGTTAGTGCTGGCTAGAAATAGGTTGTGATCTGCGGAAAGCTGCAGAAGGCGGTCCTTATTATCTGACTTGTGACCACATAAATCCAACTGACCATCTGGATGATTTTCCTCTGAGCTTAGACACCCGACCTGTGCATTCAAGTCCCCAGGCAGCACTACGATATCCCTCCGACCTGCCTGTTTCAGGAGATCGCTAAGTTGGTAGTAGAACTCATCCTTAATTGCATCCGGGCTGCGATCCGTCACCACACGGACAGAGACAACAAATGGACACCGCCTTTCCGGTCTACCATTCCTTACTTTCGTATAACCTTCCAGTCTCACAGCACATAAATGACTGTTAATGGGGACCCAGTCGAGTAATGCAGTCTCGGTTGTAGCGTTTTGGTGCGACACCGACACCACAGGGTCTCCGGACAAGCGCAGGTAGTATATACTATCCGAACTTTCAGATGGAGAGGACGTCGATTGTGAGGTTTTCCAATGTTTTTACCAAACCTGCCTGTTGTCCGATTTGCATCATTGTCTGAACATTGTGGGTGGCACGCTTTAACGCGGCACGCGGTTTCAGGATATCTGTCTTAGTTGTCGCACTGGGGACAGCCATTTTGAAGGCCACTCACTAACATCTCTAAACGTCACAGTTAGGATGGGAACTCAAACAAAGGCGAAAGTCTGACAGTAGTGAAGACATCAAGCTTAGCAAAGGTAAAACACAGCATTAATACGAGTGTTATTGATCTACTATAATCAGATGGAAGATACGACGAGTGTTTTAATAGTCATAATAAGTTTTTTGTTAGGATGTTGTGATGTGTTTGAATCGAAATAGAATTTTAATATTATTTATTACCTTCTTCTGATTTGACCTGCGGTAATAATATCTTCCATATCTCTGGTATTTGCATTGAGTCATTTTTGTTGCATGTGTTGGGTGTGGACTCGATAAATAAGGATTCCGTAATCAACCTCTCTCTCCACCTACCTAGATTACTTTTTAGAATTTTAACCCTATCCCACCCTATTGTGTGGTTGTTTGTTATTGCATGAAGTGCAATAGCTGAGCTTTTTTCTAAATTACTTATCTTTTTAGGGTCAACCATTCTTACCTTAGCTAAATTCTTATGTTCTGTTAATCTGACTATCCCTGACCTACTAGTTTGACCTATGTAGTTGACCTCACAGTTATTGCAGGGTATTTTGTAAATTATATTATTTTGTTTAATTGGATCCACCGGGTCTTTTAGCCTACAGAGCTTGTCTCTGAGTGAGTTTGTAGGTTTGAATGCCACCCTAATTCCTGCTTTATTAAGAATCCTACGTAGGGCCTCAGATGTGCTTTCCTTATATGGTATAACAGTGGATGACTTATATCCTTTCTTATTTGTGTTATCATTAATAGTTTCACCATTATTTTTATTTTGCTTTTGGTTTTTGGTGATCTTCCTAATGAATTTTATAGGATAGTTATTCAACACCAACGCTTCTTCTATCTGTTTTATTTCATCATTTAGGTCTTTTTTTGTGCTACTTAGTGCTATGGCTCGATTTGTTAGACACTTCACTAAGTCTGCCTTAACAGTTAACGGATGAGACGAATTAAAGTCTAAATATCTATTAGAATGCGTTGGTTTTCTATAAACACAAGTGTGTAGTTTGCCTTCTTCTATTCGTTTTATTTTACAATCTAACATAGCTAATTCTCCTAGTTCATTTTCTGATTCAAATGTGAATTTAATTCCTTCTACTTGTGAGTTTATATGAATCATAGGACAAAGCTGCCCATTGAACAAATTATGTTAGGGATTCAGTTATGTCTCACATCTACCATCTTTAAGTTCCAAGGCAAAATATATAAACAAACAGAAGGTGTAGCAATGGGATCACCAATATCCCCTATTGTAGCAGACATATTTATGGACAGCTGGGAAAGTAGTGCTCTTAATACGTTTAACCCCACTCCAAAAATATGGTGGAGATATGTGGATGACACTTTCACGGTGTTAAAAACAGAACATATCTCTAGCTTCCTGACACATATAAACTCACAAGTAGAAGGAATTAAATTCACATTTGAATCAGAAAATGAACTAGGAGAATTAGCTATGTTAGATTGTAAAATAAAACGAATAGAAGAAGGCAAACTACACACTAGTGTTTATAGAAAACCAACGCATTCTAATAGATATTTAGACTTTAATTCGTCTCATCCGTTAACTGTTAAGGCAGGCTTAGTAAAGTGTCTAACAAATCGAGCCATAGCACTAAGTAGCACAAAAAAAGACCTAAATGATGAAATAAAACAGATAGAAGAAGCGTTGGTGTTGAATAACTATCCTATAAAATTCATTAGGAAGATCACCAAAAACCAAAAGCAAAATAAAAATAATGGTGAAACTATTAATGATAACACAAATAAGAAAGAATATAAGTCATCCACTGTTATACCATATAAGGAAAGCACATCTGAGGCCCTACGTAGGATTCTTAATAAAGCAGGAATTAGGGTGGCATTCAAACCTACAAACTCACTCAGAGACAAGCTCTGTAGGCTAAAAGACCCGGTGGATCCAATTAAACAAAATAATATAATTTACAAAATACCCTGCAATAACTGTGAGGTCAACTACATAGGTCAAACTAGTAGGTCAGGGATAGTCAGATTAACAGAACATAAGAATTTAGCTAAGGTAAGAATGGTTGACCCTAAAAAGATAAGTAATTTAGAAAAAAGCTCAGCTATTGCACTTCATGCAATAACAAACAACCACACAATAGGGTGGGATAGGGTTAAAATTCTAAAAAGTAATATAGCTAAGTGGAGAGAGAGGTTGATTACGGAATCCTTATTTATCGAGTCCACACCCAACACATGCAACAAAAATGACTCAATGCAAATACCAGAGATATGGAAGATATTATTACCGCAGGTCAAATCAGAAGAAGGTAATAAATAATATTAAAATTCTATTTCGATTCAAACACATCACAACATCCTAACAAAAAACTTATTATGACTATTAAAACACTCGTCGTATCTTCCATCTGATTATAGTAGATCAATAACACTCGTATTAATGCCATCAGTCAAACCAGAAGAAGATAATAAATAATCTTAAAATTCTATTTCAATTCAAACACATTCTAACAAGCAGCTTATTATGACTGTAAAAACACTCGTCCAATTTTCCCATCTAATTGCAATTGATCAACAACACTCGTACGATTATTTCTGAATGTACATTATCTCACATTGATTTTTAATCCAATATCTAATCCATTCCACATATGTATATAAATGAGAGATCAAAGTTGTGTGAGTAACTTGATATGATTATGAGCAATAGTTTGTGCTCGAAACGTCATCAGTTCATATAACTGTAAACACTGTGCGATTTATCAGAATAAAATCTTATCTATAATGGAATTAAAACACAGCAGTCTATGTATAAAAATAAAAGTAAGGTTGGGAAGAAATGTATCACTTGAAGCATCATTGTTGTTTAAGAGCATTTTTACGAGGGTGTGATGATTTTCATTGATGGTTCATTGTTTCATTTCATTGATTGTATGAGGGGTGAGATACTACCCGGGCACCCAGACCGAAGCGGGTGGGTTGCCTTAATGGGCCAGCCCCCCGAGCCTTTAACTTGGAGTCTAATCCGCAAGGCATGGTAGCAGCGTCAGGAGCTACGTTCCCATGGTTGCCGGTGACCAATACAGGTTCATACTTCAGTTGATCAGATTAGATTCTGGAGTCCATTTACTTCATTGTAACTGCTTTTAGTCTAACCGCTATCTAAACAAACTTCCTGACATGTTATGACCTGCGGGAACGTGAGTCCCAGCCAGTTTAGTTTGTTGGGTCACTGAGATATTCAAGCCTGACTACCAGACAAGGTAACAGTTGTCGGTCAGTTACACTCTTTTTGAAACTACCACAGCTTTAAAAATTATGCATGCTAGATTACACTTGTAGTACTTAGTGCTATCTGTAGTAAAGACAACTAAAAAGTGTACTAAATTAACTTAGCTATGCATTCTTTATTATCTCTCTTGCAGTATTGAAAGCCTTTCCCTGAATTATTCTACTTTGACTAAAGTTTAAAAAAATATTAGAGCTTTAATAACTTGTATCAGTGTACAGTGTGGTTGGTAGATAATTACAGACAGACAAGTGACGAAAGACTATTTAGCATCATAAGTGTATAGGATGAAAATTATTTCTTTCCATATTATAGTCTGCATAGTAATGCTTGTAGTTATGGGTTGGTAAAGGTAGAGGATTATTAATTCCCTCTAAATAGTTATTGTCTTCATTGGGGGTTGTTCTTCTTTTTCTTCTTCTTATTGTTACTATGATTATCGTAATTATAATAAAAGGGATGTTCACATGCGTTCAGATTCCTGAATGTTTTGCATTAGTGTAAAGCGGAAGGAGTGTAAAACCTCAGTACATACCCTACACTACCCTATTATATATATTATAGGGTAGATCAATAATTACGGAAGGAAAGAATCAGAATAAATTAATATATGAATGTGAATTGCCTGCTTTATATAAATGTGTTTAAATTTGCCTGCCTTCATACACACCTTCGTATTGCGTGTTCATTTGTGTGTGTGTGTGTGTGCATGTATGTATTTCCATGGGTACTAGACAATCCACAGTGAAGTAACTAACCCATTTCTTGGAGAAAATATTTGTGTACTATTTATTTAATGTTTTAACTTTTGGAAAATAAGATAAACAAGATAGTAGATGGATGATGATATTAAAACTTTCTGGTCTTCTACTACTCTATAATACGTATGCGTGTGTGTGTGAAGAATATATGTATAATTTCGTTTTTTTACATAATAACATTTATTAAAAGTTGTGCAACTAGAAATTAATGATGAAACTATCTAGTAGTTGAAGCGTACATGAAAAAAAATATGCCAGTAGGGTTGTTATATGTTAAAAAAAGATGTAGTCCGATTCAACCAGGATTGTCTGTGAATAGTGATAAGGTAGGTAGGTAGGTAGGTAGGCAGGTAGATATTCCGAAATAGTGCTGGCTGTAATCGTTTCATGTGTACTCATAACTACGGAATCAAACTGGATACAATTCTAAAATACGTTTTATAGACTTTTCAGTATTTGGAGCTGGTTTACAGTCAAGTTAGGAATGTTCTTATATTTGCGGCAGTTTGCTTCGTCCTTTTTTTACACGACTATCAGATGTGGTTTTTTTTCCAAACAAGAGGATATGGAATAATTAGCTGTTTTTGATCATGTAACAAGACTGGACTTTATTTTACAATGAATAAAGAATAAAATAATGGTGTTCTTTAAACGATATTTTGCTGTCTAGTAGTACATACTAGCTTTACTATGACAATCGCATTACATATAGAAACGTCAGTAAGAACATAATCGGCCTGTTTTTCTTTTTCATTCATTAGCGAATAGAAATTTCTAGTAGTAATACATTTCAGGAAATTGTCAAAAATCAATTCGTACTCATCGAAAGCCAAAGAAATATGATTGATAACAAGAAACCAGCAAAGTAAAACATACGAAGAACCACCCGAGTTTTTGTTAGCTATCCCCCTTGACAGGTGGTATAATATAGTGTTAGATAAGGAGGGGAAGTCGATCGATGAAGGTGGCTAGGACATTTGTTACGCATGTCTAGCCATAGCTTTCCTCAGCGGGCAATGTTAGCTGCCATAGAATCAGGTTGAGAAAGGTCTACTGATGGTCACACCGAAACTTGGCATCAGTCCACAAAATCTTTGACAATTAGTTTGAGCCACATAGGGAGGATTAGGCTTTTTCATTGGGCTCCTAAGGGTGCTAAGAAGCAGTGACTGGAAACATTTGGTGATATGGCTCAAAAGTGTTTTGAATGGTGCAAATGCATTCACTCTTTGTGATTTGCCATACCTACTAAACCTCATTGTTTCCCCATGTTACTATTCTTTATCCCTCAGATTTCTGCTCATTATCGTTCCTCTGAATCTCCTTATTCTCTTTTGTCTTCCTTTGTGTGCTACATAGAGTGTGACAACTTGAACTGATTCTCTTTTTTTACAAAGTCCTACATTGAAACCAGGCAATCAGTCGGTCAGTAGCTACTTCGGTGAACTGTGTAAATTGCAAATGACAAATTCGTTGTAATGTATTGCTGGTTCACCCAATTAAGTTGACCAGAACTCGGCTATCTGAGCTGAATTAAACCGGGTTAATCGCTGATGAGGTCAGCCCCAAAAGAGTGAAGTGGACGTCCATTGTTTAGATCATTTCGATCTGGCTTACAAACTACTACTACTACTGACTGATGTGACTGCTGTACACAACTATACTCATATTAATCAATCAGTAGTTTTTCGGGACAAAAAAAGTTTTGTTTCTAGTGTAAATAAAAATATCTCCATAAAAATTGTTTTTAGTTCTGGGAAATATACTCCATTCACTTCCATAAAATAAGTTCGGACTGATGGCGAAAGCTGTGCTAACATAACCGCTAAAAATTGGAGAGCAACAAAACTATCCATGACAGTGAACATCGTTTTAGTACCTTTTCCTCCCCTTCTTTAAGTGTTCATGAATCTTCTGTTTCTTTTAGAAGCCCACATGTATGCGAAGAATCCCCAGTAATCATTTCCTTGCACTGTCAGTTAGAGAGGGTCTTTCGAATTACTAAAATATAAGAAAGGCACTGAGTCTGTTTTTTGCACAAGTACAACACTCCTTGTAGAGGCGTATTAGTAATGGAGTGGTGGTTCTAACACAACTTAATCAATTTTGTGTAATACCACACTTAACCTTGTGGTAAAGTTAACGGTTTAGATTTGGAGGTCATCAAGTTAGAGTGAATTTTCCTTAAAATTCTCTTTATTTTTCTGATTGTTTGTTTGCCTTTGGTTTGTAAGAAGTATCAGTTTATCGACACTTGTTTCCATGCTAATAAAGTGTGGCTCATGTTTTCCATTTAGATATTTTGTCGTATTTCTACAGTTGCCTTAGGTGTATCTTCTTCATTCCTTTGTGTCCCAAGTGGGGGATACGGCTCCAAGACATGGTTTCAATGTCGATGGTTTTGCCTCAACGCGCAGGATTGCCAGCCTCACACTTAACCATCCGTTCTTTTCCTAGGGTGGGTTGACCGGGAGTGAAAACCCAACCAATTACGTGGTTTGTGTGCATTCTGCCGTGGAACCACTCTCGCAAGAATATGGGACACATCACTATTTTACGTGTCATCCTTGCTCAGTGACCACACTTATCTTCTCTGTATTGTTCGAATATTAGTATCTGTACCACTGAAGCGAGTCCAGTGGCCTAGAAAATAATGCCGTTCTGTTTAGAAATACGGCTTTGTGGTTGAAATACTAACTAGTAGACTGCAGGCTAGAAAATCATGTCATTTACCTGAGCACTTTTCCATACGATAACAGTGTACCATGAACTATCAAATCTATGGTAATCTGGCTCATAACCCTTGGAATAAAATATGTACCCAAAAATTCAATTGTATTGAGAATTACAGTTCATGAAATTGTTTCATATGAATTAATCCATGCTGTTATGAGCTAATTATGGATTGATGTGGTTAGCAAGCACTACTGATTGTTGTGTATTGTATTCAACTACTCATGTCAGCCAGTCAGTAGTATGTAGTATCATGTTAGTTATGGTGTCAAACAGATCGATCACATATTGTGATCTGAATAAGTTCGGTTTCCAAAGTAGTTTCATGTGAATCCTTGTGTTGCACAGTGTTAGTCAAGTTATTCATGAATATGTATCATAAATGATTTTGTTCACATCCAATAATTGATTGTAATATCTATATAGCTGGTACATTTCATACAGGTAAACGTTGTTTATTTAAAAAGAAAATCAATATCACTTTGTTTTAACGAAGCATATTTTATTTGATCCTTTTTTTATTTATTTGTTTTTTATGCTTCAGCCGGGTGATTTGACTGTAACTATAAATGCTGGTAATAAGGCGAGAAACTTCAAAGTACACGTTGAAAAAGGTCAATATCATATTGGTCAGAAAGTATTCGCCTGCATTGATGATCTTATTGAACATTATCGTACACATCCAATATTTAAAAATGATCAAGAACAACATTATCTTACACGTCCGTTTGTTCATCCAGGCAGTACTACTTCATCTTCTAATACTGCTGCTGGTGGTGTTGGTGCTACTGCCTCCTCTATGAATACTACTCCGACAAAAAGTAACGCTGTAGCATCAACTTGTTTCTCTCCAATTGGTGTTGGTAGCAGCAGTAGTAATAATAGTACTAGTGCTGGAACGTATAATCAGTCTATTTCAGCTACACACAGTCGATTTTCTTAACAATATAACAACAAAGAAATGTTTTGTTTCTTTTTTTAAAAATGTATTGTCCTATATTATTTTTGCTTTGCTTTCTATTAACCAGTTATTTATTTATTTATTTAATTTTATTGTTTAATTTAATACGAAAATGATTGCAAACAAAGGAATTCATTAGGCATCCATACCCTCACACACACACACACACATTACAGTATGATAGTAAACGTATTTGTAGTCTTTCGTATATTTAAGCTAATTTATACTCTTGTTTATTTGGAGGGGGGGTGGTGGTCGGGTGAAGATAGCATGGTGATGAAAGTTGAGAAGTTCCTTGTGAAAAAAGTTTGGTTTTGGCGTCAGATGGTACAGTGAAAAAGAGTGGTGCGCTTCGAATTCTCACATACATCAACCCTGCTCCATCTTTTTTTAAATATATATATATACTTTTCCCTTTTCCTTACACCTCAGCTGAAACCTATTTAAATAAAAGTTTTATTACTATAACTCCGGTGGCTATTCTATTGGCTAGCTAAGCTATTGTTATTTACACTGTATTTTAAATGAAAATTTCGTGTGTAGAAGAATACTGTTAGGGTTATCACCTCTTCTTTCTGATAGCATGTTAAACACCCATCTCATTCTTTCATTGTTTCAATATTCATTTCTCCAAGGATGAAAGGGGGATATTCTATGCTCTTTATAGTTGAAGTACAGAAGTACATTCATCCACCCACTCAATAACTCACTCACACAAATACACACAAATATATATACATACATACATACATACTGAATAATACGAAAACAATTCAATCATCATTTTTCTTATCCATATAAACATCGAATAACTTTTGTATATTTTTTATTTATTTGTTCATTTAGTCAGTTATTTTACTGTTGAAAATGATATCTCCCTTTCTGTGACAAGTTTTAGTTGGTTTTTTATTTCTTCTCATAATTTATCTTCCATAATGATATTTATTATCATCGGTGGCACTGTTGCTACCGTTCTGATCTATTCAGTGGTATAGTGGTAGTGATGGGAGTCGTAATGGTAGTAGTACTAGTGTCAGGAATTAGTTGCGGTAGTGGTAAGCGTATTTTTTTCTCTCTTCATATTTTATGCAGAATTGTGTGTGGTATGTTTTTATAAATGTTATTATTTACTGATTTTTATTCAATGTTTTTTGTTTTTGTAAAGATTTCTTAATATTTATTTTCTGTTTACTCCCTTTATTATCTACATATTTGAAGTGTTTTTTTTGTACAAGTTATATTGTGTATGTATGTGTTCGTTCTCTTGTGTGTATGGTATGATATGGTTATGTTTGTCAGTCGAATATTATGTGAATCAGCTTTAGTAGTAGTAGTAGAAGTGGTATAAGTTGTTGTCCTTTTTCGTAGCTTTCTTCCTTCATTTCTTGTTTTGTTCTGTCAAAAATAAGTGTATTCACCTTTAAATTATCATTTATTATTTGTTATTTCGATAGAATAAATCATTCATTTTCACTATTATCTAACGATTTGTTCCAATGTCTGATCACTCACTCACTCACTCACTCACTCACTCACTCACTCACTCACTCACTCACTCACTCACTCACTCACTCACTCACTCACTCACTCACTCACTCACTCACTCACTCACTCACTGACTGACTATCGGTTGATTATGCAAATACACAACGCACACACACACACACACACACACCGACATCGACATATACAACTTGACTCGTTGATGATATGGCTAGAAATTCACTGTGGAGTGTAATTTTTCTGATTTCTCTGCCTCTTTCTCACCTTTATTCATTGACATTTCTCAAAAAACGAAAAAAAAATCACTGTAATCGTGCCTTTTCTTAGCGGTTATTTCTTTTTTTCGTTTTGTGTGTGTGTGTGTGCTGATTTCAGCTCTTTCTGTTACAGAGGAACCTCTTTCTTCATTTTTGTGTGTGTGTGTGCGCGCGTCTGTTTTCACGTCTGTCTTCAGTCAATATTCTCGACGCGTTTCTTGAACGATACGCCAGACATGATTTAACGAGGATTCGAGTGATGAATATGCGAAGCTTAGTCCTTGCAGATATTGATGTTTATGTATAGTAATCTTCGTTGTGCTGCGTGACATCGCCTGAATTCTTCTTTGTGTTATTAAACCTTCCATTAGATAATTACTGTACGTCTTTTTTGTGTTTTAGGCACATTATCAATTTTACTACTACTACCACTAATAATTATCGTAATAATATTAATGCAATAAATGAAACTTGTTAACTTAATCAATTTTACTATTTATTGCCGGTATATTTACTACTACTATTCATTATATTATTATTATTATTACTACTACTATTATTACTACCTTATTCAAAGAAGAAAATCTTTTGCTTCCAGTGCTGTTTTTGTTAGTTATTTCCTGAAAGATTATCATGCGACTTTTGTCTGTTGTCAGGCTATGAATTGATGGTGCACAGACGCTATGATTATTTAGCAAATTAAGAGTTACCATCGAGGTAGCTTATGTATATCTGCAAAACTGTTATCCTCTGTTCTTGTATTCAACAGATGAAGTCTTTTTTCCTATTTATGTGAATACATCGTTCAACATTGAGAAAGATGATGATATGGGTACGGTCTAATTATTTCACTTTGGAAATGGAACTTTGATTCTCTGGTAGAGTCTAATTCTATAATAGAATAGATCTTCAAGTATTGGTTTTGTAGGGATTTTGTTTGATTGAATGGAGGATTTCATCATGAGCTGACGTTGCTCAAAGAGCCATTGGAAAACCTGGGAGTACTGGACAGCTGTTTTGTCCTAGTTTGGGACTCTTCATCATTACGCACACACCGGGTTAGAACCCACGACCTTCTAGTTACAAGGCGAGATCTTAGACCATTAAGGTACTGGGACCCGATCGAATGGTTCTTGGATTATAACTTCTGCCAATTAACGACATAGCGCGATTATTTCGAAATGTCTTCTTCGATGAGTTACTGCCTCATCTTCAGCCTGCTGTACCCTACTGGTCACACCTTCCCACTAGAACCCCAGGTTAACTGCCTAAATAGGGCCAGTCACTAGTGAGCATCAGATTAATTTTCAAGTATTGGTTTTGTAGGGATTTTGTTTGATATAGTGCACAGTAATGTTGAATATGATTGAGCACAATTTGAGCGTAGTTTATTGCTCATAGCCGCCTAGCTTCCATTAATTTTTATTGGATTAGTGTTTCATTCTCCGTTGGTGGTTAAGGAGTGGAGTACTCGGTAATCATGTTTGTGGCCTGGGATTCGGTTCCCGGCCGACGCACTGATTTACTTTACTTAGCGGGTAGTAAGACCGGTTAAAGAAGGAGAGGTTGAATGTGAAGCTAGCAACCCCACTTCGTATAAAAAATGGCATCGTAGCTAATGAAACTCTAAAGTTTGAAGCCTTGTATTCCACTCAGAATGCAAAGAAATAAAAGAAGAAATGATTCATTCATCAGCCAACTTCGCCTTGAAATCATCTGTATTACATTTTAGACCTGTAACTCTGTCCCACACTCTTGTGTGATTGGGTGTCAATGGATACATTGCAGTATTTGAGTTATTCATTTTATGGAGTCCGTGTGTTTAGGATTCTTACTTAGCCGCCTAAACACTTAACTAAGTCTGTATCTACTCACATAGGTTGAGGTGATCTAAAGCCTGAATGTCTATCATAATGCCACTTTTTCATAGAAACCAGTAAAGAAGCTTACTTCTTCAGTTTTACTTTGTCATCCACTGTAGTGAATTCTTCTTGTTGATTCTCTTACTTAAAAGCAAATTCGATTTTATGTTCAACAAAGTTTATATGTTTGAAAAAGTTAGGGAAGTGTCTCATTTTCAACAGAGTCAATTTGTCATTCACATGTCTTCTGCGTCGGTGCCACAGCGGTTAGGACTCTCGCCGATCATGCACGTGGTCCGGAGTTCGATCCTCTGCCGACGCACACATGATATATATGGTCGGCCTGCAAAACTTGGGCTACCGATATCACATGCTGAAAATTCTATACCTGTACCAAAAATACGGTGTGGAATCAAGCTGTAATCAAAAAGTCAAAAAAAAATCAATACCTTTAAAAGACGAGTAGATGTTACATAGGGTATACGTTGCCAACTAACCATGACGATACCTGTTATATCTGACGATACTGATGGTCATCGTTCTACCTCTTCTATTCGTCTGTATATTTTCCTTTTGAGTTTGAAAGCAGTAAAGGTGAGACTACTGAATTCCAAAAATTATCTCCTGTCTGAATAACTTTATTCTTTGAGTGAACTATTTTTCTAATATCTTTGAGTGCGATACTAGAACAGAGATTAGTGGCATTTACACTGGTCATTTTCTATTTAATTGTCAATCAACTCCGTTTTCATTTCGTATGACTAGTTTAGTTCGGAGTTCAGATGATTTCTGATGGCGCCTAATATTAACGCTAGGTATTCTTGAACCATCTATTGGTCGTATAAGATAATCTAGTTTCTGTATAAATAAAAGTCCATAGTATAGTCAATAAACAGTTCATCAAAGAAATGAGTAATATTTGTAATTAAGAATGTGTTTGTTGTGGGAGGTGGCTGTTCTTCTGAATGATACCATTTGATTAAAAGCTTGGAATAACAACCTGGTCATTCATTATCTTCGGTGAGGGTTAACAATTGGATCAATCAAATATAGCAAATAGTGGATGATGGTTATAATTATCTAAAGATCTATGTGAGGCACAGTTATTATGCTGTTGGACCATTACATAGGCAATGTGTGTAAAGGTGATGAATCATAGCACAAGCAATGGCTATCAGTTCAGTCTTACCTCAGGCGGATCACAGTATGATAATAATAATTCAGGGTCACGAAAATGATTCAGAGATTTTATGCACCGTCGATGGTGGCTCTGTGATAGGATACTCGTCAACCATCCATGTGATCCGGGGTTCGGTCGACGCACTCCTAAACCTCGCCTAGCTGGTAGCAAGTCCAGTAG